CCCATGTTAAGAAAAAAAAAAATATATATATATATATATATATAATGTTTAATAGCCTTTAAAACTATAATGCTTCCGTCTCTCGTAGAAGGCCCAATACAAGGTTTTGAAAATTGGATCAGTTCGGTTGGTTGAATCAATTGAACCGATACTTGATAATGAAAACGAATCAGGTTGATATTTTAAACCGTTTAGGTGATTGAACCATTCAAAACTGCTCAAACCATTCGGACCGATCAGAACCGACAACCCGTGCAACCGGCCGAGCCAACTCTTTGGACGAAATTCTCCAAAATTTGCCTCGTGTAGGTTTCGAACAGCAGACCTCATGAGAGGTTTGCGAGCAATTTGCCACTAGAGCGTCCAACCTGTTGGGAAGTTTGTTGCAAAGAATTTCTTTTAAAGAATATTTCAGGGATTTTAAAGGAAAAATAGCCTCCTTTGGATTCGAACACCTAATCTCTTAGAGGTTTTAAATAATTGCTGTCACTTGATCCGAAGCAAGGTTGTCGTGTGCGGATGCATTAACATTTATTTATTATACTAGTTTTATGTAAATTGAATAATTTTAACACACAGAAAACTCGAACCTTAGTTCTCTATACAATAAGTACGGAACCCTAGCCACTTGAGCCACTACTAATTCATTGAAATGAGTTACATTATATTATATTTAATATATAGATTCAAAATTCAATCAACTTGATTTTTTAACCAATTAAATCGGTTGAACCGTTAAAATCATAAACCAAAAATCAAAACGATTTAACCTCCAATTCGGTTTTGAAAACATTGGCCCAATATATAGGGCCTTCTCACAAAGCTTTGGGTGACACCTTGGTATACACTAATAAATATAACAAACAGTTACAATCCTCTTCTTCTCAATTTTTGGGTTTTAAGAATTTCGATGATTGCAACCTTAAAATTCTTGTGTTGGGCGTTGTACCAGTTCTGTGAAGCCACCTGCATTATATATTGAAAATCGATTATCCTTTAAATAGCTTCCTGGAAATTCCTTGGCCTTGCCCATAATTTCAACTTCTTCTATTTTCTACATCTTTGGCTTTGCTCACATACAACAAAAACAGCCTATATCATTGCTCTCAGCCTCTTAGGGGGTGGCTTATCCCCGTATCAGTCACTCTTCCTTTGCCAACCTCCTTATCCCACGTCGCAAATGCCCGTGTCTTCCACTCCTTGCGCCTCTACCAAACCCTCTTTCCTCAGCGTGCTACCCCGGCCTGAACTGGTGGTATTCACGTACGAGACCAAGCTTCCTCCCCCACATAGCCGCTCCCTTGCAACCTCGCTACCTAGCTCAGCCCGTCAAGAAGCAGCCTTTAGCCTTTTCACCTGCCCCCTACACCCTCCCTTTTCCACACAGCAGCCTCACCACTCATAGCCTCTTCCCCCAAATAAATTAGAAATCAAAATAAAATCAAATATTAGCAATTACCATTAAGAATATTAAAAGTTCGTTAGCATGCGGGTTGGGTGAGATAAAAAATATGAGAGAATTGACTCATATTGTGTAACTAATATAAAAATATATATATATTAATTACAAGTCAAGTAAATAATTAAAAGTTTAAAGTCAAAAACAATTAGCAATTACAATAATTGATAATTACAAAAGAAAAAACTATTAAGAAATGACATAATGGTTAAGATTTTGAGATTTTAAATTAAAAATTTTAAATTTTAATTTTGAAGCTAATAGGAAGAAATTTAAGAAAAAAAAGAGGATTATCTTTTTTTTACATAATCCATTGTCATCATGTGTTACCAAAAAAAAAAAAAGTAATTGCAAAAGAACATCCTGACTAAAGAAAACGGTGTTAGAACAATCAAGTTATATTTTGAATTGGGAGAAAAAATTTTGGGTTTAGGTAATCAATTATGTTATAAGTGATAAATAAGTTTAGGTTTGTCCTTTTTACCTAATAATTAACATATATACAGTATTTTGTTATTTTATTTTATTTTATTTTATTTTTGAATAAGTTGTCAAGGGCGGACTTCCATGAAGGAGGGAGAATACACCTCAAACTGACAAGCTGCCAGTTGACCCAACGGGTCAGATGCCAATATTTTGTTATTTTATAGTTAAAGCTAAAGAAAATTTTTAATATTTTAGAAGGGCCTGGACCTTGGGCCCTTAGTCCAAACCCCTAACTTTAGGGTTTTATTTCTCATGGTATTTGTATCTTCCTAATAATGTCTCTAAATATTGTAGTTTTTAGTTTTTATACTCCTAATTGTTAGAAAATGTATGACTAATTTATATACCCTCTCTCTCTTTTTTTCAAAGACACCTTAAAAGTTAAAAATTTTATGTTGAAACTTTCAAATTCAAATTTTAATATAAGTGGAGAGGGGATTAAAAAGATGAGTAATATTATT